TTTTATTGATTGCACTTAACGAAGCTTGACATAATATCACGCTTGGTGACATCTTCACTATTTTTTTTCTCTTTTAGTAATATAACACATTAAGGGAGATGATTTTCACGCCTAAGATAGACACATTTTTTCTTTAGATAGATAGTTTTATTGACGACAAAAAAAAAAAAAAGAAAAAAGAAATAGATATTCAGCTATGTCGTTTATCGACTTTCTATCAAAATACCCTCTAGCGTCATAGAATTCAAAGAAAGTGTGCTAGATTATTATCTATCTAACAGAGTGTGACGTTTGCAATTGACAAGTTAAATTTAATATGTAAATCTTCTTCATTTATAACACATATTTTTAATGATTATTTTCTTTCTTCTTTTTTTTTTTTTATATATTCATTTGAAGATAATATATATTTATATCAAATGGCAAATATATCTTATATTTCATCATGTAAATAAGTCGGAATTTTATTTTGCATTTCAAATAAATTGATATCAAACTCACCTGATGATATGGCAAAAGAACCATTTCTTTTTTTTTTTTGTTGTTGTTGCGTGTATATGTAAAGAATAATTATGATATAGCTTTATAATACATGTTATAGAAATATGAATGTATTTTTCTTTTTCTCTTTTCATATCAATATGTTCATTGGTCAACAGATATTTTATTTATATTAATGATTGTTTCTTTTCTTTTCTCCTATTGGAAATATATATATATATATATATCAAGTTTGTTTACAGTTCATTATCATTAATGATGAGTTGAACAAATTTTTTTCTTCTTTGAGGAAATACAGCTGTTATATTTATGTTTGAAATTCATCTAAATATAATGCTGGGAAAAGATTATCAATCATTGCCTCCTTCCGATCAATAAGCACTCCTTTCACTTGTTGAGTATATCATTGAAATTAGTTGCTACTGGTGCATTTTATATATGCCGACTTTGCTCATACACTTTTTTTTTCACATCATAATCATTGTCGTCGAGAATAAGTGGCTATTTCTCGTCTCTCGTTTTTTTTTTTGTTTGATAATGTAATCTCATATTTGATATTAAAAAGAAAAGATCGAACCACTTCATGGCGACAATATAAATTGCTTCTTGGTTTTTTTTTTTTAATTGAATAGATTTATTGTCAAAAGAAAGAAACAAAAAGAGAACCTCTGGACTTCATGGTTGATTGAAAACATAAAAATCGATCGTCTCTCATATATACATATATATATATATATATAATGATGTGTGAAATGTAATCATCGATAGTGAGGAATATATTATTGTTATTTAAAGGCAAAACACCTTACACACACTATCTAAACAAGAGCTCGTGTCTGAGAGAGAGAGAGAGAGTGAAAGAAAAAAAAATATAATATTTTATATCAACAATCAATACTAAATGATTTTCTTTTTTCGAAAAATAATCACACATATACACATTCGATTAGCTATGCTCCACCTACAGTTATTGGCGTCAGTTGAAAGCTTTCGGAAATGGATTTGAAAAAAAAACAAAATAAATAACGATGACATATTTTGCCAATTTAGTATAAAAAGAAAAGACATTCTTTTACACGAGGTAATTATAGAGATACATACAGATAGTATTTATCCTGCTGTGCACATGCCAGCTCACATTCTCTTTTACTTTTGATCTTAAAGAAATGTGACATCATATATATGATTATGTCGTTTTGCCTTTTAATCAAATCAAATTGGTCGTATATTGACTTTACGATCAACAAGTATCTTGCTGGGATGTATCAATGCCGCGCATACTATCATTCTTTTGATAATACATACATATATGTATTTATACATTATATATATATATATATAATGAGTTCATCTCAAGTATTTTGACTCTTGTGTTACACAAGAAAACATAGAAAAGAAACAATCCCTTGATGGTTAATTGACAATCCAAGATACTATCATACAGAAAAATCTAAATAGAAATAAATCGAATTTGTTCTATCAGATCGAATAAAATAATCGACTGAATTGTCTGACCTCGCGCCAAATATTATTTTATATTGCCGATGATACAAGTTAATTCAAGCATGAAATTGTACATGTATACATATATATATATATATATATATATATATGTGATAAGATAGAAAAGATACAAGAAGATGAAACCTATAATAGCTTATATTAGATGTTAATATATGAATGAATGAATATTTTTTGATGTGATGATTGTTCAATTTTATATGTTTAATCTCTATTCACTATTTTATAAGACAAAAAAATTTGCTCATAATGGAAGCAGTTCAGTTGCCGCACTTAGAAGATATAAACATCTGGAGCATTTCATAGACTTCTTTCTTTCGTTCTTTCTTCTTCTATGTGATATGAACGAAACAAATCATTCTATGAAAGTTGATGTGCAATAAAATAAACAATCATTTGTTTCATTATTCATATTCAATTATACAATATGCTTTTTTGATTTTATATAATTTATGAAAATTACCTTATAAATACAAAATCGAGCCTGTAGTTTTTTAAAGTATATAAAGATAATTTTTATTTTCCATATAAAAAAAATAAACTATAATGTTAGTATTTTATTTAGTAAGAAGTATATCCATATATTATCGAAATTTTAGAAATATTCTCAACAACCAATTAAGTACGTAACACATTGATTGACAACAAAATATACTCTTCGCTTTTATGTTTTATATTGCACTAAACATTTAAGATGTTTTGTATTTTAAAAAAATCATGATTTTTAAATTTTGATAAAATATTTCATATTCGTTCTGCACTTATTAATCAAAATAATTTGAGAAATTAGTATTCTGTAAGAAATAGGATGTGAATGTCTTCTGTCGACATCAACACTCACATACACAATATATGTGTCAAGACAATCGATGGAAGAACATAGAAGAAAAAGAACTGTAGAAAACAGATCTTTCTCTTAGTGTTCATTATCATTCACGAACTATGTTATATAATTTGGTTGTACAATATCTGATAAGATTTCTTGAAATTCTCGATGATTGCACATCAGTTCTAGAACATGTCAAGCTATTGAATACTTGATGAATTCGGACTCGAAACATTAGAAATGTTTTGCTTTTGAAAGAAAAATTTTCAAGTATTCGTCTTAAAACTTACAAACATCATTGAAAAAGGAGTTTCTACTGATTTGCTTCTAACGACTATAGAAAAGAACGTATTCATTCGAAATGACTGCATTAGTTGAATACATGAGAAAAATCGATCTTACTGAGAAATATTTTAATGCATTGAAAATTTAACATTGATCGTGTGTTCTATGTTGATGTCAATATATGATGTGTACCAAAAGATTCATCTCAACTGTCAACGATAAAAATCATAACAACTGAGAAAACGATTTCTTTTGTCCCTCGACAATATATGCATATTCAATTGAATGAGTTCAGTGATCACCATTAATACGACGTATTTAAAACATGTTTTCTCATTTGTGAATACAAAAATCGAAGTTTAAAATCTGTTAAATTCCATTTCAGTTGTTTTTTTAAACTTAATTTATTCAATTAAAAAAAATCTTAGGTCTCAATTTGTAGTTTTTCAAATTTTTTAGAAAATTACTGATAAAAATTTTAATACAACTTATATTTTTGGTTATATTTTTTAACTTTGTTGAAATTCATAGAGTTCGCTAAAGATTGAATTCCATTGCGTCAATTTGATGAGTTGTAATTTGTGGAGTTCATCAGACATAATTGTTATTATGAATGTCATGAGTCGTTTTTGATTTGAACACACCATCTAATTGTGATTATAAAATGAAATCAAACATTGAATGGAGACAACTGATTGGTGTGCAAAAGCATTTGTATATACAAAAATCAAAAATAATAAAAAAATAATATTTTAAAAGAGACGGTTTAGAAATATGAATATTAATGAGCGCTTTCTCTTGACGGACACAACCCAATTCGTCCACACTACGTTTGGAATAAATATTGGATTATCAAAACAAGTTATGATATAACCTCCTTAAAAACTCGTTTTGTCGTTAATTTAAATCATTCTTAGCTCAGTCCAAATCGACGATTCTTGCTCGTGCATTATGAATATTAGTTTATTAATAACAAAAAAAAAACAAATCAGCTAGTACATTTCCTTTTTGACTTACATTAAAATTCTTCGTAGCTAAGTTCAAACGAAAATTTTCATGGAACAAATACTTAACATTCTCTACAAATTACAACTATTCTACTAAATTTAAAAATCTTATTTTATTAAAAGCTTACTCCTCTACAAATTGCAGCATACTTACGAGGGAACATATTGGCAATCATGTTATTCGTCGAAAAATTTTTGTCGACACGACACTTCGTCGACAAAGCACTTCATCAATAAACTCAGATAGATATCTGTTTTTCGTCGAAAGTATTTTCTTGGCTATGGAGAGTACTCCAAATGTAAAGGTGAAGTGAGCGTGAGGGTGAGGGTGAGAACCATGTAGGCGTACTCCAAATGTGAGGGTGAGCATAACGTGAAGGCAAGGGTGAGTGAGAGTGAGCACGACTGTGAGGGCAACAGCCATGCAAGACACTCCAAATGTGAGGGTGAAGGCAAAGGTGAGGGCACTACAAACGTGAGTGTGAAAGAAAATTCACTGTCCTCTTAACTCTGAACAGTTTTGTAGAAGAATTGAAGGATCCGGAATTGTCTCGGGGACTACAAACCTTGCCTTGAAGTACTTTTCGACGAAAAGTATGTAATTCTATTCAATAATGCTCTGAAATTCTTCCACCATCGCCGAAGGGACAAAGTTAATTAGGAGATACTTTTGAACTTGTCTCCTGACGGCGAGATAAATAAGAAGAAAATATTTCTGAACAAGATCTTAGGTACAAACTCAAATATTTGCATTAGATTAGAACATAGAAAGAAAAAAAGAGTCGAAAAGAGAAGTCCATATTGTTTTTTTTGTCACTACTTCAGCAGTGCTATTTATTGCCATGTGTATCATGGTTCACATGAATTTATTATTTCTTTTATTATTAACAATCATTCCTCAAGCATTCAGTTTGAACGCATTGTTTCTTAGCTTTGGTGCAGCTGGTCATTCTATTCCAATGTTTGAATTAGTGAAAGCAATGAAGAATCATAATGTAACTTTTATTACGGAAGTATTAGCACAATCGTATATTAATACTGAAATGTATTCGAATAGATCTTCATTTCAATTGATCTTTACAAATGATTCAACCGATGCAATTATGGAAGAAAACAAAATACAACAAGATATTATTGAATATTTTATGAATCATTCATTATTTGATAGTCTATTTTATATGATACCAACAGTTAGCCGAACTACAAATGTATTTATGCATAAAGCAGTGCATGTATTAATGTCTGACCAGTTTGATGTCATCATTAGTAATTCATTAGTCTTAGGTGCTCATGCTTTATGTCAAAAAGCCAACACATCTTGTGTCATACAGAGAGCAGAAATCAAATCGAATATTTTTGATGTAAATCTACCAATTAGTTGTTTGTCACTATCATCAAAACAGATAACTGAATTCAAATATCGCGTTTATAATGTTGCTTTTTATTCACATTTGATAATAAGCATTTTCAATAAATTAATAGAATCATTCTACATAATTTTCCAATAATTTCCTCAAATACCAGGACCATTTTATGATACTTTCACATTAAGAAATCTGCTATTTACGCAATCGAACTGTTTGAATTTAATTGGTATACCACCAACACTCTATCCACCATCGTATTCACATCATCTTACGAAATATCTTGGTGGATTTATAGATGAATCATCGATCGATCATGTTGATAATGATCTTACAAGGTGGATTAAATTCAAACCAATGAATTCGATTCTCTATGTAGCTTTTGGTAGTACGGGTATTATTAGACTCGATAGAATGAAGAATTTGATTCATGGTTTGGTCGAATTTCTATTACAAACAGATTCGGCTTGTGTCATATTGGCGTTTCGTGGTAGAAATTATAATAATTATCAAATTGTATTCACTGAGATACAAAATGTTGAATATCGACGAATTTTGGTGGATGATCAACGAATTAAAATTGAACATCAATTTGTTCAACAAAAATGAATTTTACAACAGACTTCAGTTAATCTATATTTAAGTCATTGTGGTATGGGTTCAATTGTAGAAGGAATTTATTTTCAAAAACTTATGTTATGCTTACCAATACACACCGATCAATTTCTAAACTCAATGGCAATTCAAAATTCTGGTGTTGGATAATCGTTATTCGAACCACCCTCTCTACTAGAATCATTTCTAAAACCACATGATTATCATGATTATACTTTTCTAGCTAGTAGTGTAACAACAAAACTATCTACCATGTGGAGAAACATGACGTATGAGCAAGCAGCTCGTTTAATGTCACTTGAGATGAAACATGCCAGTGGTGTGAAACGTACTATTGAAGAAATTGAACTTTTAATAAGTTTAAATGGTGATTTGAGTCGGTATGAACCATTTCATAGTACACTACCGTTTTATCAACGTTATATGCTTGATTTAGTGTTTATTTTTATTGTATTACCTATGACAATCATTTTATATTTATTTGTAAGATGTTGTAAACGAGGTCGAAAGAAAAAAATGGATTGATATAGAAGTATTTGAAATAGAATGTATTCCAAGGGGAAAACATCATATTTCTAGTTTCTGATGTCTAAATGATTATTTATTGTGGGTGTGGGTGTCGATGTAGGGATGGGGATGAGCGTGAGTTTTCTATCAACACACACATCTGCATCCACTCCCACATCGAGAGTCCTGGTTCCATAATAGATGTTCCAGATTGACGGTGTAGAAGAGTGTCTATGAATGTATTGCATTCAGTCTCATATGATGATGAAAATATGTTTAGATTTGCAACCACAATGGCAAAACTTCTTCAATTTTCATAATCTTTAAAATTATAACTCGATACACATTGAAGTGTTATCTCAAATTAAAATCATTAGAGAATAATATCTGAAAATAATGTAAACTTTAATTGATCAATGACAATAATTTTCTCTTCATCAAAACTCTAAATCATATTGATTTATTCACACTAACGTAAATCAACAAAAACATCATCATGATCAAAATAAAAAAATCAAACAAAGATTTTCTTGACTAAAATCTTCATAGTTAAAGGCAATCTATATTATTCGATTCGAAGAAGTATATGTATTGAACTCAAAGTTAATTATAATATTGTACATATGATCGATTTCGAGCGGTCTAGAAAGAACAAATAGTCATTTTTTGTTATGTATTTTGTTTTTCAATTAATCAAAACGAATATTAATATGATAAAAATCGATTTCATATAGAGAAAAGTTTAATACATCTAACAATAATGCTGAAAACAGTGACACATGACAAAGATTAGTAAATGTTTATTTATTAATACAATATAGTCGTTAGAGAAAAAGTTTATTGTTGGTTAGTAACAACATTAAGGAAATAGTCGATTGCATAGGTTGACAGTTGTCCACCAGGACCATTTAGATTGTAATCAAAACCATGTGTTGCCCATGGTAATTCAAGATAATAATGTGGTACATCATTTTGATGTAATTTCGCATCGAGACGACGACTATGTTCATAGAATACGAGTGAATCAGGGAGACCATGAAAGATAAGAGTAGGTACAGTTTGTCGATTGACAAATTCAATTGGTGAACTAGCTGCATATTTGTCTGGCATTTCGAAATAATCACCACCAATATATCTCGCTAATGTTTGTCGTGAATCCAATACTAGTGGATTCGTTGGTGTCATATATCCCCAAATCATATCTGCTGGTCCATAAAAGTTGATGACACCTTTGATACCAGATTGTTGAACTGTGTAAGCTGCTAATAATGCTATTTGTCCACCAGCTGATCGACCAAGTAATACAAAATTATTTTGATCAATATTCAATTCATCAGCATGTTGACGTAAGTAAGTTAAAGCAGCAGCAGTATCTTCTATTGGAGCAGGACATTTCCATTGTGGAGCTAAACGATAATTAATAGCTGCACAATGATAACCTACTTGTGCTAGATGTCTATTGAGTTCTGGCAATTGTTTACTATTACCACCAATCCAAGAACCACCATGTATGACAATCACACAAGGTCGTTTACCTGTCACGACTGATTCATAGAAATCCAAAGTCAAAGTAGCATCATCATAAGTTACATATGTTAATGTACGAAACGATACTTTTGGTATAGTTTGTAAGAATTTAAAGATGTTAAAAGGTCTATTGATAAGTTTTTGATCGTTTTTGATTGTAACATTTTTCATCTGTCGAAAAGCTTTTTCCAAATCCGATGGTAATTTTTGAGCAATAAAATAAGCATCTCTAATAGGTAATAGAAACAAAACTAAAGCTATTAAACCAAGTATTGTTCCAACTAATGTAAATGAGACTGCATAGAAATTAGTCAGTAGTAATAAACTTGTAAGTCCAGCAAAGATAATCGAATATTCACTTGTAACAACAGCTAGAAGCCATAATTGCGAAGTAGGAGATTTGAATACATTTAGTAAAGCAGCAAGAAAGAATAAGGTAAGAACAACAAGATGGAACCTTTAAATATGTAAATATAAATAAAATTTCATTTATATCATGTATATGATATGTTCAAATCGATATTCAATAAAATTCATCAAAAAAAAAAACAAATCAAAAATTTTTTCCCTGTCGTTTTCGAGCATATTTATTAATGAAATGGAATAGATTCTTTTTCTTCTTCTCATATAAAATCAATACATACACGTTCTTGTCTCTACTATTTTCACTTATAATAATAATCTTTGAGATATAGAAAATATGTACAATATCTTTACTATGTCTAAATTTCTCTTGTTTTTATTTTCTTTTTAATAAACAATCGATTGATTACGAATTCAGTAGAATTTAGATTGATGAACTTATATTAAGATGAAAAATGATCATGAAGCATTCATAACTTACGATGTTTCGTAGATGAGCAAAAGCACCAGGAAGCTGAGAAAGAGAACGACGGTATGACGGTTTGACATACTGATCTATGAAAAAGAAAATATATGACTATGAATAGATTTTGTTCAATGTCAAAAGAAAACGTAAATAATCGTCATTTTTATGCAACATATAAGTTGTAAAATTGAAAAAAAAACAAATAAAATAAACTGTATATTCTACAATAATATATTCAACAATTAATGAAATGAATACATTACAATTAAATGAACATAAATTTCCAATACTCATCATTATTCTCTAGAGTTAGTCATGAACTTGCACTCGATCTAAATCATTGATATTTCTTTCTTCAACCATTATTTTCCACATGAATAATATTCACATATTTTATTCTTAGTGCAAGAAATCGACCAATTATATCTCAACATGATGTTTTTTTGGTATATTTTTGGCCATATCATTTTCTTAAGGTAACGACATTGTATCTATACCCCTCAGGTGAATAGAAAAAAATCAAATAAGTGCTATGAATTTTTATGGATGAATGGATACAATCAATATATCTTTTGACGATATATCATCGTTTTCTATCAAAATCAATATAATTATTTAATAGTTGACAGAAAAAGAAAAGACTTTTGCTCTTATCCCATGTGGTCAAAACCGGTAAAAAACCGCCGGTATACCGATCGTATAACTGTGGGGGATACCGCCGGTTAACCGTGGTTATCCGGCAGTTTCTTCAATTGATCCGGTTTCTAATATTGGCTGTCTGATTCCTTAATTCTTTCATAGCACAATTAGTTCTTTTGCAATATTTGATTATTTTTTGGCACTTTATTTTTAAAAAAATTTAAAAAAATACTAAACAAACAATATTAGCCTACAGACATAACAAAAAGAGCTCATATTTGATCGGAAAATCTAGTAAGTCGTGATATCTGGTAAAAATACTTGATAGCTAGGAATTCAAAACTATTGAATTCTATTAATAGGAATCAACAAATTATATGGATTTCTGTTGAATATTTCGTGAATGGTTTTTATTGCCCATGTAAAAAAAAGAAGACTGGAAAAATGAGATTATTAATCGATTATAATGGCACTATTATAACCTGATTTTTCTATATAATAAAATCAAAATTTTCGGATTTTGATTTTTTCTTAATCTTTTTTAACTGTTTTTTTAAAATTCATTATAATCGATTACGAAAAAATCAAAATGCGAACATTTTGATTTTTTTATATAGAAAAAACCGATTAAAATCAAGTTATAATAGTGCCATTATGATAGATTGATAATCTGATTTTCCTAAATATTTTTACATGAGCATTTACATATGCTTTTTATTTAATTTAGTCTTTCTGTTTATTAAGAGAAAATTGAAATAAGTACATTAAGTTATTGTCAGAATTTCTTCACTTATTCAAAAGTTAGAATAAAATTTGTAAATCGAAACTTTTTCCTAAATTATAAGTTGTTACTGTTAGATAGATCAATATGAATAGTAATATGAACCACTCTGATTTAATATCGGATACTTCTTCAGGAATCCAACTTTTAATTTTAAAACACAGGAAAAAAATCTAAATACTTAAGTTAAATTATCTCGAGGTTCGAAGATGATATATTTTAAATTGTTTTTGCGCGATTCAGAATTATACTATATTCCTGAAGAAACACCAGATATTGAATCAAAATGGTTCATATTACTATTCATATTGATCTTTCTTCCAATGACAACTTATAATTTAGGAAAAAGTTTTGATTTGAAAATTTTATTTTAACTTTTGAATAAGTAAAGAAATTCTGATGCTAACTTAATGTGCTCATTTCAATTCTCTCGTAAGAAAACGAAAGACTAAATTGACCCTTTAAGTACCATAACTTTGCCTGTGAGAAAAATTTCTATAAATTGTCATACGTAAGACACTCATAGTGCAATTTTTAAAAAAGCTTCAAAGTCATTTTCGGCCCATGCCTGTACGTACTTCCCACGGGAATGATGAAGAAGTACTTTGACCTTTCCTGAGGGGGGGGGGGGGGTACCTGCGGGGGGCCCTAAAAATCCGAAGAGGGTCGCCCAAAAATCAACTTTTGTAGTATCACTAGGAGTCACACCTAACTTGATTCCAACACGGAAAACCGAAATATTTTGAGGACCGCAAAAGAGCACTATCCACCCTCCTGTTTAGAATGAAGGTGATGTTCCAAAAACCCATCAAGTTTACTACCTGAGTGACCTCATTAGGGTTATAAGTCTTATATAGATGTATGTATCGAAGTGTCTTCTATATCATAGCGAAAGCCGCACTTCGATATCGTTTCACGCTCGCAAGTTATTCAAAAATTAAGATGCTTAAAAAAGTGTCCTGAATTCAGGACGCTGGTACTTAAAGGGTTAAATAAAAAAACATCCATGAGAATGATAAAAACCATTTACAAAAGAATTCAATAGAAATCCATATAATTTGTTGATTTCTATTATTAGAATTTAATAATTTCGAATTATTCCTAGCTATCAAGTATTTTTCTAGATAATACGACTTACTAGATTTTCCTACAAAAAATTAATAAATGTTGACACACATTGATCAGTTGAACATTACGTGTATCCATCAACAGATTATTAATTCAAAACTTGATGTATGATAGTGTTCAATAAAAAAAAATTATAACCAACCTAAAAAAACTCACAAAAAAAAATAAGCATGGATGCTTAGTTCGATCCTTAAAAAAAACATCCTTTGGATCTTATTCTCTAAAAGAAGTTATAAAAAATTACCCAATGATCGTTAAATTTGAAATTTATTTAAAAAATTGATTTTATATATTTCGCAGTGGAATTTGTGTATCCCCTTAAGCTGTATTATTTTTCATATTGTCTTATCATATGCACACACTATGAAAAGAAAAAAAACAGTTGAAGTTTTCATCTTCGTCGCAAGATGTGAAAATAATAATTCACGAAAGAGTAAACGTTCATTTTCGAGTTTATTAATATTCTATAGTATACATTACAGGGAATAATCGAAATAATCTTCTAGTTTATGTGACAAGAAGTTATAAAATGAAAAAGAATAACAGTTGATCACTGAGTCATTATCGAGTGTTTTTACGAATGATAAAATTTTACAGCGCTATCTGTCAAATTCTACAATTTAGGTATTTTAAGGATGTATGGGGTTGTCTGATAGTTCCTTTATCAAGAAAAAAATGTATCTTTTTCAGAACAAAATATTATACCTATATTTTTATTGAAAATTTTTTAAAGTGAAAAAACCGTCAGAGACGGGCGGTATCTATAAAAAAGTGACGACATGGGTACTCTTTTACTCGTTCATTATTTACAATTATAAATATGATCATTTATAATCAGAATATATTTAGGGATACCCAAAAATATTTTCTTAGAGAAGGCTTGAGAAAATTTTCTTTTTTTATGGGATGACAGAGAAAACGAAGTTCTATTTTTCTGTGCTATTTCATTCCTATTTAACTAGTACCATAATAATAAAATTTCGAGAAGAACTAGTTTTGTGTAAAATATTTTCATCCATGTGCATTTTTGTTTTTGGTTGTTTTTTTGTTCTTCTCTTATCTTTCCTTTCTTCTTTCTTTTTTCGTCTCTTCTAATGCCTAGTCTTTCACATATAGATTTGTATAAATATATATTTTAAGATACCTGTCCAGTTTGTTTCTTGAATATGTGAAATTTAATCGTGTATTGATGGAATAAAAAGTTGCTGAACTTGTTTGATATTTTTATTTTTATTTTACTACTATTGTCTGTGATAGACTACGTGAACCATATTTATGAAAGATTAGCTATTAGAAGAAACGAGAAAAGAAAGAAGAAAGAAGAAAGGAAAGATAAGAGAAGAACAAAGAAACAACCAAAAATAAAAATGTACATGGATGAAAATTTTTTACACAAAACTAGTTCTTCTCGAAATTTTATTATTATGATACTAGTTAAATAGGAATGAAATAGTACAGAAAAATAGAGCTTCGTTTTCTCAAACACCCTATAAAAAAAGAAAATTTTTTCAAGCCTTCTGTAAGAAAATAAAGTATCTCCGCCACTACTTTTGAGTACTGCTAAGTATTATTTAATTATATCTCTTGCCTCTTTCATTCATTCAATCATCAATAAAAATTTGATATCAGTATATTTGAATCAACAATATAAAAATGTCAGTTTTACACTATTTTAAGCGAAGACAAGAAAAAAATAAAGTTATCTATGAGTATCTACAGAGAACAAACTTGATTATAATCAATAGAAAAGTCTCAAGGAAGTAAATGAGTAAATTTGCTTGTCTTAGTTAATATCGATCAATATTCTATCTATTTTGGTTTTCATACGATGATTTTTTGGGATGAGTAAGTATGAATATGAGAGTTAGAAAATGATATTGATGTCTTGTTTTCACTTTTATTAAGAGATGTTTGGTATAATTGGGATGATAACTACTGTTTTACTTGTCAAATCTATCGGATGATCAGATCTAATTCAAATAGATTAGAAAGAAATGCATGTAATGAGAGGAAAATCTGAGTAAGAAATCAACGAAACATATTGTTCACGATAAAATCATTCATAACTAATGATAAGATGGGTGAGACAAATAGAAATGATAGAAAAATAATTGATGCACACAAAAATAATGTGTTGCGGGCTCTCTCACGAAAATGTCTCGTGTTAGGAATTTGTTGTGTTCTGTTTGCTGATTATTCATTCATCGTTCTGCTTTGCACATACAGCTACATATAGATGACTCGACTGGACATGCAACACTTGTGTATTTTCGTATCTTTTTTTCTAAATTACTTCTCGGTTAGTTATTAATCGAGAATATGCCGATCTCGATCGATGATCGAGAGAAGACTAACTCGAGACGGAGAGATCTCAAGATCGAACCGGGGTGTGCGTGTGGATGGAGATAAAGACAAGGCCTACACCCTTGCCAACACCCTTATTAATTGTTACTATTGTTATTACATTTGAAGTTTACTTTTAACAAACTATTAAACAAGTCAAATTTTAAAAAAATATAATCATTGTCGAACACAATGGAATGAATGTATTCAAGAAACAAACGAAATAGAAGTGATAAATATTTTCTTCATGACTTAATCGAAAACTTTCTAGAGTATCAAAGTTTTAGAAACATTGAATCAATTGACATAATCATAATGATAATGACAATGACATTTGAGTTTAGATTTATATTGATTAGTTCTATATCATGATGAATGTAATTATTAATAGATAATTAAATAAATTATTTTGAATGGTTAATTTCAGTGGTAATTATCGTCTTTATTATTTACTTTTTCATAAACGAAATTTTTTAATTAACAAATATGAACTTTCTTTTTTGAGATGATTTATCATTGAGATTAGAATTATTCAGATTCTTATTTTTTGCAGAACAATGGTAAATTTCGATGATCAATAAATCTTAATTTTAATGTCTCATTCTTTTATCGAACAAATTTATTCCAAGCAAAAATAGCAAATTCACATATAGTCATATATTGAGAACAGAACTTAAACATATGTCTTTGTTTTTTCTCGTTCGATGATCATATTCCTCATAGCATTTTTTTAATGAAAATATTGATCACTGAAGTGATGTATACATCTTTTTTTTCTCATTTGTAAGAAATAACCATATACACATGAGGAAAAAACAAAATCCATCAATTTAGAAAAGAAAGTGACATTATTACTGTATGTTCTGCATTAGTATGATAAGCATAATTTAACGATTTACTTTTGTGTTTTCTGATAACCTTCAAATCATATCATTGTCAAATAATCTCATGTTAAATAACGAAGTAAAAAGCAAAGAAATAAATCCAACGTTGTTGAGTTTTTTCTTTACAATGAGTTCTATGATAAAATTTTATTGATTTTGAAATTCATTTGATAAAAATCAGAATATGAAAATTACGATTTGTATTGATATATTCACTATTGAACGAATAAAATTAAAATTGTTTTAATTTATAGACGCACTAAGATCAGTATGCTTGTGTTTAGTAGTTACTTTATTATTGTAGGAGGTGTTATCATGGGCTTTTTTTCCTCGTCATATCTTAACTATATTGGATTTGAAAGCAGATAATGATACTTTTGTTCGTATGACTGGTTTACTTGTTGCTATTCTTGGTGCTAATTATTTGCTCATGGTTCGAGAAACAGCTGTGATTTGTTTTAAATTTTCTGTAACTATGCGATATTTAGCTGCATTGTCTATGTTTTCTATGGTTATAACTGGTATTTCACCTCAGAATTTACTTCTACTTGCATTTGGTGATGCAATGGCAGCGACTTGGACAGTTGTTGTACTTAGAAAAGATCAACAAGAAAATCAAAGTAAACAGAAGAATTTAAATAAAAAGAACTAAATCAAATATGAATATTGTTTTTGTCTCATATCAATCACATAATTATTATTTTAAATTAAGTTATTTTCTTTCTGAAAAAATACTTCTTCTTCATTTCATTCTAATATTTTTCTAGTTTAGAATAAATCAAATATGACTAACTAACATATATCAATTAATTGATCAAACTCAGTTGTTTTTGCATTATCTTGTTTCAACTACACTCCTTTTTTTTTCTTTATTAATTCTTTTTCTGATAATGAATAGATTTCTTTCACAGTCAAAAATTCTTCATATTTGTACATCATGTAAAGATAGATACTGGTGAAATGTGACTCTTTTTGAACGTTAATAATTCGTGCTCAATCATTATTCATATGAAAATATCAAATAAAAAAATAAATAACACATCATAATTGATTATTGTTAAAATTTGCGCTCACGAAGAGCGACGAACACTGTTAAGATGTATGTTTTTTCTTCTATCTCTGTTTATTCTTTGAAAAAACAAATGTTTATATACTCACATCAAAAACAAGGACAAAAATAGAAAGGTTAAATAAGGACAAAGAAAAGCAGTAGAAATGAAATAACAAAAACGAAAATATCAAAGAAAAGAGAATAGATAGAGTCGAGATATATGTTATAGAAATGCACTGCAACAATCATTATCAGCCGTTCACTCATATTTGAATAATTATGTTCATATCATATCAAGAATCCATTCACTGAATTGTCTTATCTTTAGAAAAAAGAAAACCAAATGATAAATTTAATAATAAGCAAATGTACAATTAATCATGGATGAAATGATCAATTCATCAATGAATAACTTATAGTTATATCTATGCATAGAATGTCTTATATATATGAATATAACGAGATCAGAAATCAATTATAATTCTACAAGATCCAAATACGAAAAAAACAAGACAAGTTCAGTTGAGTTTTTTTTTCCGAAAGACATTTTATTTAGAATTGATATGATTAAATAATTTTAAAAATTAAATTGCTAGTTTAGAAATATTAAGCTAGAATAAATCAGTATCTATTCTTAAAATTTATTAGTAATAAAAATAAAAATCATGATATAATAAAAGATGTTCAATGAGTATGATGTCTTCTTTTTGTAGAGAAATATTTCTTGGTTTGCCTTTTCTTTCTAACTATTGTAACTTCTGATCTGGTGGTTGCACGACTTGACCCATGTCACGAACAGACATGTTTTCATAGGCAAAACCCCAAATTGGTTTAAATTTTTCATAGAATTCTTCAAATGAAAATTTTTTATCACCATCATCAGCGAGATAATCTTCGACTTCATTTTCTGGTAAACCCCATTGAATTAATAGTTTTTGAAGTTCAAGATTATCAATATATCCACTTTTGTCTGTATCCAAACAATCGAAAATGAAACGTGCTCTTGCCATTCCTTGTCGTTTTATACCATCTTGTATATGACCAATAGAAGTTTCACCAAGACGCCAAATATTTCTATAGAATAATTCAAATGACATATCCTGTTTCTTTGACAAACGTGAAAATCGATTGATAAAACTTGTTGCAGTTTGCCATTCTTGTAATAAACGAGTAATTTCTTCATTATCAAGAGATCCATTTTTGTTTTCATCTAATTGATCAAAAATTTCTTTAGCTCGTTGTTGATCGGACAATTCATCATTACGAGCCAATTTTGCTAATCGTTCCTGTTGTTTTATCCAAGCATTATGAACCGTTCTATTAACAAGAAGATCTCGTGTACATTCATTTACATAGCGTACACGTTCTTCTTCATTTGGTTGAACAATAGCAAAATAAAGAAGAATACTAGTTGCAACATAACCTAAAAATAACATATTCGCTGAAACACCAAGAACAGCTGGAAATAAAATAAGTCCTGATGTTAATATTGCATTTGTATATATTGTATCTTTAAATAAACCAGTAAAACCAAAAAAGAAATAGAATACACGACACCAAACATAAATATTATGAACAAGAAACATATTCAATAACCAATAAACTGATGTTGGTTCCATAAATAGATGTAATGCAGAAAATAGATGAAGTGATATAGCAAATAGATATCCGGCAACCATCAATGCTTTAGCACCAAAAACAATTGATGTTTGATAATAGGCCGAAGGTACATGACCAAAAATAGCTGTTAGAGCAGCAATAGTAGCAATATATTTGTTACCAGTAAGAAATGCTGCCCAACAGCTAGTAAATTCTAGGACACCTGAAATAATATGTATATAAATTACAAATCGACGACGTAGTAAGATAACAAATTTCGGATGTGGTGCGTGAGTAAAATGATAGTACAATACAAACATATTAAAGAAACTTGAAATGGCACAAAGAATACACTTTTGTATATACATATAATCTTCAGGTTGATTACGTGTTAAGTGATGAAATGAATAAAATGCTCCTAAACTCAGAGTGAATATAGCCAAGTAATAGACAAATAGACGAAACTTGTTTTGAGCCATGTTTTGATCAGCGTTGTATCAAGATTTGAAAAGATTCAATGATCTATTTTGATCTACAATAATACATTGTCGGAATAAGAAAATGAAAGTAGTTTTTAATGTAAGAAATTTTTTGATTACAAGAAATAATTCAATATGCTTAGATCAATCAGAAATAATTATATATACATATATTTTCACTGTGCAAGATCATTTCTACGATTGAAAAATACGTGTGTGATTTGATAAGAGTGATAAAATATGAAAGATACTACTAAAAAACAATAGAACATGTGAAGACACATTTAATGAATCATCATATTGCGCTGATTGTTGTTTATTCAACTGCATCGAGTCTAGGCAATTGACAGTATCTAGATGGATTTTTTTCTCTGTCAATCATAAAAAAATCATTGATGATAGAAAGAAGCAATCGATTGACGACAAATATATTGAGTCTATGTATCGATTTGTAAAGCGTAACATTACTTTTTGATTTTTTCAATCGAAGAATATGCAAGACATCATCGACGTTGATAACAATCGATTCAAACCAATGCAAATGAAAACCTATTGTTAATTGGATTCCTTACATGTACGCTCGTATATCAACTACATATAATCTCTAATTTCAGCTAGATTTTGTGAAATATGATTGAAAAAAAGTGTTGAACTGTATAGTGAGAAAGTTTGAACGGGTGTGGCTCAATAATACGATCAATACCTACATAACTGTCTAATAGATTCTAATCGACGAGATATAAGATGTTTTTGAAGCTAAATTCATATTTTAATTAAACTTTTATTCGAAAAGAAAAAAATTTTCTTTCTTTACTTTCATCGCAAACATAGAGGAGAGTAATTCTATTGGTCAGTCAAATTCAGTTGTATGTATACATATACCTAAATCAGTAAGTAATACTTCTTTATCATCCGATTTAGATAGTCACAACTATGATTATAATAACAATATTGGAAACTTTAACTTAACTGATAAAGTTATATATAAGTCAATGTGAAAATTGAAAAAGAATTAATCATAAAAAAAAAAGATAAGACTATAAGAAGTTAAACTTAAATAATAATTAAAAATGAACATATTGTAGACAAATAAACATGTTGAATACTTTTATTCTACATGCACACAATCTTTACAACCATGTTCATCTTTGTTTTCTTGAACATATAATTTTTTCATTGAACGTGTAACATAATCACTGACAATTTGAGTTGATGTTGGACTCAAATTACAATCATCAAAATTTGATCGAAGCCAATCTAACATTTCTGTTTTAAACACAAGTGCTGTTACTATTGTTGATTGATTTTCATTTGAATTTGTTGTTATATCAGTTATTGCTGTTGGTAGTGTTAATGTATCATCTTGATTATGATCAAGATCTTCATGATGTTGTGGATGAATTTTATAATGGTTTTTCATACGATATACTGATGGAATATATTGATTACATATTTTACACGTACATTTTTTTTTAATTCCTTTTTTACGCAGTGAGAAGGAATTAAGAGAGGATCTGCCAGAATACCGACCATCGTGGCTGCCGAAAAATTTTAGATTTTGACTCTGATCATCTCATTCGA